TGTTTTTCGATTTTTGGCATATTGTCGTAAACTCGGAGTTGCTTTTAGGCAGGTACAATCTATTCGAAAAGTTTTATGTGCAATACAAGTCTATTGAAGGGACTCTTTCATGGTTACACCAATTTTAAAAGTTATAAACTAGAAATATTTCAACGGGTTCATTTTTTCAACACATTAACTATCCCACAATTTAGTTGTTTAGACCTGTAAGGTATCTATCCTTACGTCAATCAGTGGATTTACTCAATTCCCATCACTGCTTAGTCAAATTCACGTATCTCGAAAAATTATGAGATTCGTGAGCTCCGCATGCAGTGTATATTAATGGAATTCAGTTACTGATGGAATGTCTTAGACCCAATTATATGAGAAAAAATAATATTCAAAATAAAGGGTCAGTGATTCCCACAATCTAAGATTGTAAGTTTGTTAAATCGATAAATACTATTTTTTATTTGGCGTTATAAAATTGATTGATGTTAAATGCTTCCGAAATTTCAGGTAGTTAATACGGTATAATTTTTGGTAGAAATTTTTTATCGTTTACCTCCCTTCTTTTTCTTCTTTCTGTTTTTATCACCGCCACCGCTCTTGGGTTTACTTTGAAGTTCTTGTTGATTGGGTTGATTTACAACATTCTGTTGAGGTGATCCAGCGTTTGGACTTTCCAAATAAAAAATATTAATTTTCCAGAATTGAACTTTTTAATTAACAAATAGATTAAAATTACCTTTTTCCCGCAATATTCGCACTCCCAGTTCCACCAATTCCTCCACCTGCAACAGCGACACCTTGTGATCCTTTCATTAATTGTTGTTTTCTTTTTCCTTTTACTTTGTAGCTTGAGCGTTCTCGTTTAGGCAACCACCGTTCAGGATCTGGTGGAACGTTAGGATCAAAATTTTTGGGCAATAGTGGTTTTCTTTTTCTTCTTTTCTTAACTGATGATTTCCCCATATTATCACTGTAATACACATTTGATGATAAATGAATTGGCTATTTTTATCGGGAATCAATTTTAGATTATGATTACCTTTTAGCATCAGGTTTTTTATACCTCTTCACGCCGGGAATATTTTTCTCAAGAAAATCAACATCGATATTTTTTGAATGCTTGATAGTTGCTAATGAGCTCTCATATTTCTCAGCCAAAGAAACATCATATTGAGAATATGCAATAATAAGTCCGGCTAATGCTTGCGAATCCTCGGGATTAGCCTTCACAAGTTGTTCGTAATCTTGTGCCGCCTCAGAAAAGCGGCCTGCTTTAAGTTTAAATGCCGCCGTTTGTTTTAATATCGAAGAACTTTGCACCGACTGATATCATTAAGGCATCAATATTTGGTGTTTTTTAAATCTTATAAATCACACAATGAATAGGAATTACCGTAACATCACTCTTTGAATAAGATCCTGCTTTCTCCAAAACATGCACAGATTTATCTGATTGTCCAGACTTCTCATAAAGCCAGACTAAAAGTCCAACCAAAGCAGGCTGGTATCTCGCACTTTCATCTTCAAGTGACTCGAGGTACTTTTCTAGTGTTGTTATTGACCCTTGAATATTTGTTTGTAATAGCTGGAGCTGTATCAGTGCGAAATTTATTGGCAAGGAGGTGGGTTTAGCTTGTGCGTATTCTTGTAATTCCTGAACGGCTTTAGTGGGCTTTTTTTGTCGATATGGAATTGAAGAGAGCAAGACGTAAAGATAATCATTCTTTGGATAAATTTGTAGTAATTTGCGGGCTGTATCTTGACAAACTGAATACTGCAAAAAATTATTAAAAATGGCATAAATAAAGGAATCAATCGAATACATTTATTTATATGTAGAAGAAAGAACCTTATGCATGTAGAGAGATAGCAAGGCCTCATTAATGGCAATAGCTTGTCGTTGGACTTTAAACAACTTCGTTTCTAAGGTTTTTGCTGATGCTGCACGCAACTTACGTGCTGAATCAAACACATCATTTTCTTTCCGTGCAACAACCAAGTTATTCGAGGCTATGGCTAACACAGTCATGTCGGCAGCTCTACGATTGGATGTTTGAAAAAACAAAATAGCATCAAGTTCGTTTTCATAAAGATGAGCAGCAAATAAAAATTGAATTCATACTTTGATTTAATTACTGATTGATAAAGATCAATTGCCTCGTTAGTTCTACCTTGTAGTTGGTATACGTAAGCCAGCTGTATAATTATTGTTGCAAGCTCCTGCTCAATCTCCTTTTCACTATAATCTTCTTGGGAAAGTGACTTGCGACATATGACTTTTTCATTATTAATACAATTAGTAAATTTCCATTTTAATAAATAAACAAAATCATATTGTAAAACTTACTTTTTGCGGTTTTGAGTAAATTCTCAGCTTGTTTCAAAAGACCTTGAGCAATCATACTACAGGCTGTATTGTAAGCCAATTCAAATGTGCTGTTGCTACTAACATTATCTGCTAAAGTGTACTTTACATATACGTACAAATAAATAACTATAGTAAATATATCAAAAGTTCGGGCCAATTCATTTAAAAAAGGATCTCTACCCACTTTTTCGTTCAGCTGGTCTCCAGAAAACAATAATGCTGATTTCACAGCAATAAAATTTGTCAATATATCATTATATGAGTCATCTTTCTTATTAATTTTCAATTTTAAAAGAAAATATGATTAAAACGCGTTTTTTTAAGTAATTATTGTTATCTAAGCATTATCGAGAACGAGTACCTTGTCCTTTTTTTGTAAAATATTATAATAAATTTCCAAAGCGTCTGAAAATTCTTCCATCCTATATGCCTATTAATCAATTAATCGATAAAAAATAACACAGATCTCATCAATTTTAAGTGAAAATCAAATTATACAAACCGCTTGTGCTTCTAGATGTCTTAAACCCATTTCTTCATTCTCAATACCCTTGTATTTTTTACAAAGATTCAGAACTTCATTCCATTGATTCAACCGATAAAGACAATACGATTTCACAGCGATAAGTTTATCTTCGGGCACATTACTTGTCAGGAACTCGAGAGCATCCTGGTATTTCTCAAGACGGATCAAAGAAATGGCTTTGCAATGAATCGCGTCAAAATCTTGAGCATTAAGTTTCAATACTTTTAAAGTGAAACAAGCAGTGATCAGTTCATAGTAGCCGCTTTCTCACACGTACGCATTATTATGACTTTATAAACAATTTCTTACTCTTGTTTATGCTTTTTAGTGCTTTGTTATAATCTCCTTGATTAGTAGAACGATCTATTTCACTAAAAAGTTGTACAATGGTAGCTTCTTTTGAAGCGTCTTCTCGTGTAGACATATCGATATTCAATCTAAAATCTAATTTTTTGGATACTATTTATGCGAGTCATGGGATCTAACTCAATAAAATGATTTGAAATTAATAAAATTTATTTTTTTTTGATATAGAATGCAAAAAATGTATTGATTGATTGATTGTTGGTCGAACGTTCGTTCGCATGTAAGCGTATGAGTGTATGGTAATAATCAGTGAATGAATGAATGTTTGATAGATAGATAGATTGACTGATTGTCTACCCTTGCAAACAATCACACGACGGAAGCATACAAATTGTTATTACATTAAAAATAAAAAAAATATCCAATTGAGAAAAAATCCGCACGCGGTTGTTCACAATGAAAATAAAAAACATACCAATAAAAAAAGGAGGACATTTATACGCCAAAAATCTAGCTTGTCATGATTCTGTTGATGAAGATGATGAATGGAAATGGATGATGATGGATGAGATGCTTTTATACACAAAAAAATTCACAAGTAAAAAATAATTATAGTAATAATATTATTATTAATAATAATCATAATATACGACGAGCAGGAGATAGGCGGCGATATACCCTATAATCTACTATCAACGGTTTCTTCCTGTTCCGGTAACACTATCGTGGTAGTGGAGGTGGTGGAGAAGTTATTGTTATGGTTGTTGTTGAAAGCCTATTTCAATAGGCATCAATAAGCAATAATATGATAAAAATCACATTAGAGAAACGAAATAAAAAAATTGCAAATAAAGCAGTACAATATTAGCTAATAACTAATTAATTACATTTATCATTGTGGCAAAGAAATGATTAAAGAACGAAAGAGGGAAAGGGATATATAATATAATAATAAACGGAAAGGTTTCTCAGTAAATCCAAGAAACATACGATAATTAAACAGTTTTAAATTTACCCACCTGCAAGCAATGCCTTTTCGGCAAAATACTTGACGTCGGCATCGGGATCTTCTCGTAATTTATTCAATGCAGGTTTTACTTGTGTGTCTAGCAGAGGAACCGTCTCAGGACTCTGCCTGAGGACGGGTATTAGAACTTCATAGGATTTAGCTACGTTAAATCGGATATTTGGAATTGGGTCAGAAACAAGATTGTTTACTGTGGGAAGAATGTGGTCCCGAATAACTTCAGGAGTAACAGCAGGTGCCATCGTCTACAGATAAAATAAATTGAATTCTTTGTTAAGGAAATTATTTTGAAATGATTATTAAATATTTCCACAATACAAACCGTAATCGCAAAAATTGTTGTCATTCTATACAAATAATTTGGATGGTTACCCATGGCTAAAACTTTAGGTATGATTGTGTTCTTTGCCCATTCAACGCCAAATGTTTCTGTCAATTTTCTCAAGTTCACAGTTGCCGCTTCTCGAATGGAATATACAGGATCACCTAACCACGACATACAATGATTCCCGAGTCTTTCGTCAAAGAAGTCAACTCCCAATTGTCTAGCCAATAGTGGAATATAATCGATAATGGCTAATCGAACCCTCCATTGTTTATCTTCTGCTAGTTCGACGATAGCCGGCAAAAGATTTTGTGACAAGAGATCTATTCCAATAACTAGTATTAATAATCGTATTTTGTGAGAAAAATTTTGAAACATGATGGAATAATAAAATGACGAAAAATAATTGTAACGAGTCATCACCTTTATTAACTTCGTCAAGTTTGGATATGATGTTTAGTCTTACATCAGGGAATTCATCTTTCAGAAGCTGTAAGAACAAGGGCAACAAGTGCTCTGTTGTGCTAATAGTTAAAAAAAAGGTTGCATATAGATAATAAGCTTGAAGAATTTGAGAACTGCAAGAAAGCAGCTTTCTCAAGTGTTATATAATCAACACATACGCTTCTTTGCCCAAAATCGGTGCTAGCCCACTTATTTTGGTGGCCAAACTCGCACGAACATGTTGAGATGTATCAGTTACCAAATCTTTTACGCATGGCAAGATGTGAGATAGAATAAGCTGCTTATCGACATATTTTGCAAATCCTATATTTTATTATATACAATTTTGTTGGATTTTAATAATAGTAATTGTAAAGAAAGTCAGTCACATAGATGAAGAATCTATGAAAATACCAGGAACTTGGCCAGAAGCAGCAGTTCGAACTTCTGCCTCGTTGTCTTTCAATAAATGAACAAAAGCAAGAACCAAATCATCTCTTGTAACTTCTTCTCCGACAGCTTCTGCTATCTGCAAGCATCCAAATAATAAAATATGGAATAATTTTCCGACAATAATATAAAAAAGATAGTAAATCAAGAGATCATATGACCAACCTTGACAAAATTTTCCGCAATCATATATCGTACTCTCCAGCTTTTATCTGATACCATACTCCTAAGCGTTTGCAAAAGATAAGTTTTACTTTCTTCCTTTGTTAATACTTCTGCGATTGCGACTAGATCCTCAACAGTCAGCAGTCGAACTGAATCCTGCTCGTCTTGAGCAAGTTTGTTGAAAAGAGGAATAATATCAACGATGACTACTTCTTTTGGGATCTTTTTTGCGAATTTCTGTAATCAAATTTAGAGTTTATAAATTAAATTAAGTTTCTTGATAGATATAATTCAGTAATCAAAAAGCAATAATGTGATTTTGCATACCCCTAAATTTGAAGCGGCTGCCCTTCGAACCATTGGTGTATCATCTTGAGTTAATTGTTTGAAACTGTTACGCAATTCATCTTGAGTCGCAGGTGTTGCCGTTTGATAACCAGCTGCAAATAGTCCGCAAGCACTTGTACGACTGGTAAACCAATCTCCAGCGCTTAGACGTTTTAATAGAGGTATATAATATTCTTCAATTTGTTTTTGAGAAAGTACTTCGGCGATTTTTGTCAAGGATTCAACTGCCTATTAATTAACGAGATATGTATATCAGAGATCAAAAAAGAATGTATAATTTTTTATTTGGACACACAATAATAAGCCTACCTTTTCTCTGACCAAAGTTTCTTCAACGGCAGCCAAATTTTCCAATGGATTTAAAATGACATGCCCATACTCTTTTCCGCCCACGTATTCAACGAAGTTTCCTAATTCTTCCGCCAAAGCAAGAAGAACTTCGTCTTCGTCATCGATAGATTCTACATGAACATAGAAGATAAGTCGAATTGAGAGGGAGGACTATGGGAATTCGAATTAATTGAAAAAAATAATTCCAAGTTAAAGCTGATCAAATGTCCGCTTTCTTTTTGCTTTATTTAAAAAATTCATGCATAGTTTCCTAGTTTGAAAGAGATTTCTTTCAAGCAGTGTTGACACATTATTCTAAATGATAATTTGATAGCAAGCCAACGAAGCTGACCTTGCTGCTCGAAAATATTTTTTTTCCAATATCTTTACACACTATCATACTAATATAAATTCTTTTGGCCTCCTCGCCTCGTGATGCATGTGTTTAATGCAAAACTCTAACCTTTGTTGAAGAGTGGCTCGAGGTGCCGTTTGTGAGATTAATTCCCCCCACCACTCACCATCAAGAAACGGTATAAGTTCATCACGAGTTCTTTGAACCCCAAGAGCTAAAGCGATTGTAGAAAGTCGCCTAATGGCATTAAGTCGGAAGTTCACATCGTCAGCTCTTAGCTCATCAAGTAGTACAGCGATTGGGTAAAGTGAGTCATCTTCAACTTCGGCGGCGTTCATCATACAAAGTATATATTTTAAAAGAAAATAAAGTGTTCTAAAGTTTTTTTTTTTGGTTGCAAGCTGTTGTTCCTCTCCCTCTTTATCCTTTTTCGTTTAAGAGTTGGTGGTGGTGCGTCCTGTTCAGTCGTCGTACGAGACTCGATATTCCTGGTCATTTTTTTTAGATGATTGTCATTAATCGAGCTATCTATCATCACGTTGATTGGTTAATCAAATAAGGAGAAATGAATATTTTTCATTGGTGGCATCAATTTCAAGGTTAGCATTATGTCCACTGCATTAATAGAATTGCTTTAATATTACAATAACTGTTATATTATACAGAAGAATAAATGAATACGTGTAACTAGTTTAATAATAAAATGTCCTAATTTTATCGACGCTGTTTTTTAAGTTTTTCCGTGCATTCTTTACAGTACCATTTCCCTTTTGGTGGCGCCTTAAGTTCCACGCACGGATAATGGAACCATTCGATCTTGCAATCTGAATTATCACAGGCAACCATTTCACCAAAACTAACTTGTTGACAATAACAGTAAACAGGCTCGTTGGGATCAATTGGCATGTCGTTTGGCTGTACAGTGTTATTGTTTGTGCTGTTATTTGCGTTGTTGTTGCTATTGATCGCATAAAAGATTTTATTAATTAGACAAAAGTCATTTTAAATATAAAATCACAAATTATTTATAAATACCTCTTGCTAGTCTTTGGTTTTGTCGTTTTGTTAGAGGGATCTCTGCGAGCCTTGGGTTTCGTCTTTTCTCGTTCCTTGTCTGCGTGTCCTCCTCGCGTATTGGTTGGTGGTGGTGTACCGACTTCTTTGACAGTCTTTCTCCCTAAGGTTTGTGTGAAGAGATTTATTATTTGAGATTAATGCTATCGAAATATTCAAACGATACTGCAGATTACTTACTTTTAGGCGCTGGCGCATCTTGCGCTACATTAGTGGAAATAGGTTGCGTGTCAAAATCAATTTCGAAAATACATATATAATTCAAAGGATCAAAATACCTTGTTGATTTCGCCTTTCTGCTCTAGAAGTTTCCTTTTTCTCCTTTTCATTCTTTAAATTCTTGTGACGAACTGTCTCCTCCTTTGTGACATTGGCTGTAACAGTAGCATTGATCCTACCAGGTCCAGTCATCTGTTCATCTTCGAATTTTTGTAAGTCGTCGTCCAGACGTCGAATGTGACGATCAACCTAATTATTAAGAATAACATAAGTTGAATAATGAATAGAGAAGAGTATTTTGAAACTCTATTATTGGCTTGCTATATACGACCATAAGAATATGAGTAAAACAAAATACCCACCGTGTCATAAGTTGAAGTTGCCAAAGAAACTTTCTCTTCTCCATTTTTCAGGGTTTCGTTCATTTCATTACCAAGCTTTTGCAGTTGCTCTTTTCGCTCAACAGGTGTTAGGGATTGTAAATTATTTATTAAATAGATTGCCTGCTGTGTAACTTTTTCCATTGAAGCTAAGACGTGAAGAAAATGAAGAGTTTAGTGAAATAAACTCAACTAAAATCAAGGAATTTTAAACTTACTGTGAGCATAGTTGTCAAGCTCACGCATGAGTGAAAAATTGCGTTGAAGCTCCATGGGAAGGGCTTCAATGGCTTTTCACAAACCATATAAAGAGAATGTGAAATATTAACAAAATGTATAAACAATAAAACAAAATGCGTGACAGTCAGTCTTTACTTACTATCTAGATAGTCATCTAAATAAGCTAGGTTGTCTTTTTCATTGCGACTATTGGAAGCTTCAGAGTTACGATTTGCAGTAGTGGTTGTAGTAGAAGGTGGTTTTGCAACGAGAACTTCTTTTTGTGCCATTGAGAACATACGAAAGGTTAACTTTTGGATCATTAATAGAGGATTTTCTAATTATGGAATGCGGGCTATTCGTTGGAGGTCGGAAAATTTGTAAAGGCGCGGATAATCTCCAAAGATCTATATCACACGTAGGCACGTGACTCATATGTTGAGCCAAGGAACGAAAATCAACCTTTAACGCTGATTAACATTACAGTAGAGTTTTCCGAATCGACGAGATTGTTCACGATTATCACGTGAATTTTCTTTATAAAATTTATAATTATTATAATATTCAAAATTTTATTCCAGATATTCCAGATACAAATATGTTTATCTTTAACTAAAAAATATATAACTTCTATTTTTCTTTTCTTGAGTAAATTATCAATATTTATATAATAAAAAGTAAATGAAAAATGGTAAAAAAATTAATATTATTTAAAAAAAATACTTTATTTCTTATAAATATTATTGAAATTAATAATAAAATATGAAAAAAATTAAAGAATATAGAATAATATTAAAACAAAAATAAAAAATTATATTAAAATAAAGACAAAAAATAATTTTTATAATAAAATTAAAAATAAAATAAAATAAAAGAATAATATTAAAATAGAAGCAAAAAATTAATTCAATATTAAAATAAAAACAAAAGAAATAATTTATATGAAAATTAAAAATAAATAAAATATATATAACTAATAAAAATATAAAAAATAATATGAAAAAATTAAAGAATTAAATTATAATATTAAAAAATTATAATTATTTATTAAATTATAAATATAATTATTCTTAGATTTTTTTAAATTAAAGAATTTATCAAATTAATAAATTATTTTTATATAATATTTTTTTACTTAATTTATAATATATTTTTAATTTTAATAAAATTATTATTATAAAAAATTATATTCTAATTTTAATTAATTTTATAGGTTTATTATATAATTTCTTTATTTTTATTAAAAAATATTATAATTATTAATTAAATTATTTAATTAATAATAATAATAATATTATTATTACTTATTTAATTCAATTATATTTTTTAGATATAATATTAACTTTATATTGATTATTATTAAAATTATTTTTAGTAAGATTAAATAAACTTGAAAATGATTATTTATATATAATTATTAAATATTCATTATTTTCTTATAATATTATTTTATAAGTAAGTTTTATTTTTTTATTTAAATTTAATATATTAATAAAAATAATTATTTAATATAATGATGATCAAAAGTAATAACTTAGGGGCTAAATTTACTAATAAAATATAGTAAAAATTAAAATTTTCTCTCTATATTAAAATTTATAATTTTAAT